GCCGCAGACCTGGTGCGCTGTGGGCGGCCTTCGCCGCGTGCCCCGCGCGGTTACCTGAGTAATTGCCGAGGAGGGTTGCACGAATCGAGAATGATTCGCTAATGGCACGCTAATTAGCGCTTTTGCGATTCTCAGGTACTTGCTGCGTAAGCAGGTGGCTGAATAGATTTACTTCCTGTAGCTGATCTGGACACTATAAAAAAGCGCCAATGGCTTCTGCTTCTAAGTGTCACCAGTAGTTCCCTGACGAGCATTGAGCGCTTACCGTTTATACCGAATGCATTGTTGCCGTGAAGGAGGAGTAAAGGGCCGGGGAGCTGGCTCAGTAGAGTAAGTGCGTGCCTGGCAAGCGCGGGAGCCCGACCTCAGGCCCCGGTTCCGCGAAAAGAAACGGGAGTAAAACGAAGACATGAGCCCCCCCAGTCACTACACACAAAAGTAATTAAATGGAACTCAGCTGAGGAGGAAAAGAAGCTCTCTGAGGGGCAGCTGAGGACTTACTCTCAAGTGGTGTTTAGGCTGGCCAAATGTAATCCTAGATTTCTTTTTTCTGTGATCATACTTTCTAAAATCAAGATGTACTCCCAGGTAAACAACCATTCTGATACAACTGCTCAGGGTACATGGACTGTATTGGCTTGTTACGGTGTTGTTGTTTTTTTTTTTTTATTTTATTTCCTGCTCTTTTACATATACAGTATATATCACTTGAGGTTTCATTAGATAATTCAATTTTTTTCACACCTGTTGTCAGCCTGAATAATACTCACCGTGCCTGTAACATGATTTTTTTTTTTTTTTTAAGGAAGGAAAGGTTTATTTAGCTCACAGTTACTGGAGGGTGTAACATGATTTATGAGAAACTTAATTGTGGACTATCCCACCAGACAAGGGACCTGAGAATTCACCCAGTCTCTTCACAGAAGCCTCTTTAGAAGAGCAGCTGTGGCCTTGGCAGGCCTTTATGAATCAGGCAATGTGCTTGATCACAAGAGTGACCAAGATGTGTTCCCTTCCTCAGTGCATCAACTCTAATGAGGGAAAAGTCTCAGTACAAGTGTCGGAGGCACACAAAAGAGACAGAAAGGGTTGGAAAATGCTTTTGACTGAAATGAATTTAGAGCTGAATCTTGAAGGCTAAGTAGATGCTCAGTGAGGAAGGCTTCAGGGGGAGAGAACAAGCAGCACATACAGGAGTGCGGTGGGAGAGAGGAGGGGAGGCTCTTCAGATGGACCACTGGTAGGCAGAGGTAGAATGTTAGGCTGCTGAGAGGATTCCCCACAGGGCTCTGGGCCTCTTCCACTGGCTGCGCTTAGAGTTTACGGTAGTAAATCATACTCTTAGCTGAAAAAAGAGAACTGTAACTTCTCACTGAATCTATACATTGCCTCATATGTTTTTTGTTTGTTTGGTCTCATGTATTTTTGTTCTATCACAGTCTTAGAGGTGTTAGCTTCCCATGGTTATAACAAAACACCCGAGGAATTTTTATTTTATTTTATTTTTTGCGGAACCGGGGATTGAACTCAGACCCTTGTGCTTGCCAGGGAAGCACTTATTCCACTGAGCCATCTCCCCAGCCCCCACCTGAGATAGTTTATAAAGAGAAACGATTCTGAAGGTTCTACTCCAAGATCAAGGGGTTTCTTTTGGCCAGAGCACCTAGTGGTGCAAACTTCTCTCTTCCTGAGTCAGGAAGCAAGTAAGAGAGAAAGGGGTCCCCAAGTCTGCAGTGACATACAGACTTTGCACTAGGCCCCGGGTCCTGAAGTTCTGCAGCTCCCAGGGCAGCATGCTGGGTGCAAGCCTTTAACACCTGTGCTGCACACAAAACCAGACAAGAAGGAAAGAGCCCCAGCTTAAGCTCACTGCCTCCCTCATTTATTTCTTCAGAGTTAGCCTTTACTTTTTTTTTTTTGCCTTTACTGTTGACAGATGTCTCCCCCAGCACTAAGTAGATCACACATTACAGGCACCCCGGCAGCGAGTCTGGTTGCCAGAGATAAGATAGGAAGCAAGCCTGTAGTGCAGTGTACATACAGTGTGCATATATTCACTGGGTTCAAAAGGCTATATTAAATATTTTGTCCTTGGAAGTAAATTACAGCTAACATTTGCAATTGCAGAACTTGCTGTCTTGGAACTAGGGCTTTATTATGTTCATTTCTAGCTAACCTTCAGGGGTGTTTCTATGATTGCCACATTTCTGCACAGGACAGGACGCAGGAAGTGTTGAGCAAGTCCCTTTTGTGTACTCACTATTAGCTCACAGGCTGAACCGAGACACCTTTTCACTGTAGCTGGGAGGTGGGGGTCACTTTAATTTAACAAGCGTTGATTTGAGCTAGAAGGATAAAATGGAAGGACTCTAACCTGAGACCCAAAGCTGTAATCATTCTAGTCCAGCTTACTCCACTTTAAGCCATTCCAGTATCTAGAAATTGGATTTATAGGAGATAAAGTAAATGGGTTTCTTCACAAAACCATTCTATGTTGCAATTCTTTGATTAAATGTACCCGCTTTCCTGGTACATTTAAAATATTAATAAACAAGTAATTTGTGTAGAGCCCATTTGATAACTTGTCAATTTTTATAAGTGAGGGAGCACCTTTCTGTGGACTGCAGGCTTTTCAGTGATACTTCATGCAAAACCTAGGCTGAACTGTACACTGTAGCCAAGTTTTATTGCTTTCTGAAGCAAACTTCTTTTTAACAAACAATGTGAAATTGTTGATTCTACACAATTTAAAAAATTAAAACATTAAATTCTATCAGACTGGTCTTACTAAACTTTACTAGTCAAATGATACCTAGCGAGAAGTAATCTTCTGTTTCATTGTTGTGAAACATAGCATCTGCATTTGGAACTGGAAGGTTCTGGACATTGTATGACTTGTTGCGTTTTGCTTCAGTTGGACTGAAGCAGCTGTGTGGGGGGCATCCCCCCAGTGTGTTTCACCACACTTACCTTCTGAGGACAGGCCACCACCACCTTCGAAGCAGGCTTGAGAAAGAAAAGAGTTACCAGAATCTAGCTGATCCTCCCTGGGTTCAACCACAACTTACATAAGAGTCAGAGGGACACTTTTACTGACACCTTAGTAACATATGTATTCCTTACAGAAAAATGACCTGTTTTCATCACAAGTTATAGGAAATAAAGAGTGAGATTACAAGGGCTGAGGACGCATAGCAACCCACCACGATACATAGACTTTCCTGAATCTTGATCTCTTAAGTCGTAAAATACATGACATTTTCAAAAATGAGAATACTGTAAGTTGCTACTGGATATTACAGAATTTTTATTTACATTGGTAATTACTAAAATTGAGTTATAATTAGGATTAATTACATGAGATTCTTTTCAATGTTTAAGTATTTTTCTTACTAAAAAAAAAAATTTGAAAAAAAAATAAATAAAAATTTATCAGACCAAAAGACAAAGGTGTGCTTTCTTTTTTTAACTTTATGTGTGTGTGTGTGTGTGTGGGTGGGTGGCCAGCTCAGGGCACCTAGGGGCGGGGCTGGCTAGCATGTGGTGCTGGGGGGTTGAACCAAGGTCCCTGTGCTTTGCTAAGCTTGTTCTAAGTAGGTGCTTTAGACCACTGAGCCATCTCACCAGCCCCAAGGTGTGCTTTCTTTTTCAAAAGTAACAAGCAAAAATAATTTGAATATAAATTGTCAGGGGGCGGGGGGATGGCTCAGTGGAATAAGCGCTTCCCTGGCAAGCGCAAGGGCCTGAGTTCAATCCCCAGTTCCACACACACAAAAAAATAATAATAATAAATTATCTGTTAATAGTCACACAATACGGTATATTGGTAGCAGAATCAGCTTCATTAACCCAATTATGTTAATTATATCAAATCATTTATGGTAATGAAATTGAATAATTTTATATATAATTAGATTGGTTTGGAGATGGGCCGAATTGTTTAATTTTGGGGAACAAACTGTTAAGATTCACATTGATGTCACTACTCCGGTTTGGAGGAGAGAATATACTTTCCAGACTCATTTTTCTTTGGAAGGAAGTGGTGAGGTCTCCAAAGCAGCCTAGTGGTGCACTGTTGCTTTCGTTCAAGTGGTTCCGCTACCGTAGATGTTATGGGACTAAAGGGTGAGCGTGTCCGGGAGGAGATCAGATCACAGAGGAAACTGCTGTTCACAGATTGCTGATGTCACTTTGGTTTCCCCCAGGCAGAAGCTGAGGAAGAGTGTCATTCTGATGCCACCAGAGGAGGAGATGAGGAGGAGGACGGCAGTCCTGCCGGAGCGGACCTGCAGGCTTGTGTTTTCTCTTCTTACTCCGTTCCTTCCCATGTGTATACAGACATTGGCCGTAATTATAGACTTGCAGGTTTCTGTTGTTTGTGCTGAATTTAACTTCATTGCCTTTAAGAATACTTAAATTGTGTCATGAATTTTTCCATTAAAAGAAATACCAGTAACTGGTATGTAATTCAGTACGTGGGCTTTGCACAGTAAGGCTTAAGCATGACTTAATACTTGTAGCCTATAGAAAATGATTGACAAGTTTGACCCTTAAAATTGTAGACCTTTATATAACAGGCATCAGAAAAACATTTAAAAGTAGCTAAAACAAGTGTTTACCACAAATGAGTAGAGGATTGCTAGATAGTGTCTTAGTTACTTTTTTATTGCTGAGATACCAAATACCCCCTAGTCAAGAGAGGAAAGGTTAATTTCAGCTGTTTGTCTCACTCCATGGTCAGCTGACTGCAAGGCAGGCCAGCATGGCAGAGGAAAAACAGTCTATGGTGTGGCAGGGAGAAGGCAGGAAGCCAGCAAATACCAGCAGCCTGCTGGCCGTCTTTCCCCTTACTCCAGGCTGGCTGCTAATATCCAGTAGCAACTTACAGTATTCTTATTTTTAAATGTCTTGTATTTCACGATTTGTGAGATCAAGATTCAGGTTAGCCCACGTATCATAGTTGCTTCCATTGTCCACACCCAGAACAGTGCCAGCCAGGGGGCCTAATCCACTTAACACGCCTTTAATCCATGTTCACATGCCCTAGATCCAGGCAGCTCCAGAAAGCCCCACCCGTGAGTGCATGAGGCTTTGGGGAGAAATGAAGATACAAGCCACAACAGATAGCTTCAGAATAGACTACTTTTTTTTTTTTTTGGTGGAACCGGGGATTGAACTCAGGCCTCTGTGCTTGCCGGGGAAGTGCTTATTCCACTGAGCCATCTCCCCGGCCCCCAGACTACTCTTAAGAGCTAGAAGGACACAGGATAGAAAGATGTGGCCAGCAAGTTAAAAAAAAAAAAATTATGAGTGACTTAAATATTTGAAGAGAAAGTGAGTGTTAATAATATGTAATCCCAGCACTTAGGAGGCTGAAGCAGGAGGATCGCCATGAGTTCATGGCCACCCTTGACTACATAGTGAGGCCGAAACCAGCCTGAACTACGGAGAGAGACCCTCCCTAAAACAGCAGCAGCAGCAGCGGGGATTATGCTGCTGCTGCTGGAATCGCTTTCGTGAGTTGTGTCCGTGGCTCTGTGGGTTGTGAGAACACTAGTGCAGCACACACCGGAGTGTGAAATGCCTCAAGGTTTCTGGGAGGCACATTGGCAATGTGAGTGAAAATTAAAAACATACCCCTTTTCATAAAGCAGTTCTACTTTTAGGAAATTAAACTTAATGGAATAATGGAAAAAATGAGTAAATTAGTATAGATGGGCAAGGATGCGCACTGTTGCATTCTTGTGTGAAAAGCATCCTAGAACCTCCACACCCATCCCTTATGTTAAGTAATGCTGTGTTCGTACAGCAGAATGCACTACAGATGGGGCACATCTTGGTGCATTGCACGGGGAAATTCAGTGTGGTGAGTTAAGCGGACTAATTATTGAATTTACATGCTTTATGGCATGTTTGTTACGTTGTGCTGCTAAAGATTTTATAGGTCATAAGTGTGTGTAACGTGATAAGCATGAACATGGGAACCAAAGCAGTGGTTTATCTGAAAACTGTTTTGCTTGTTTTAAGAGTAGGAAGTAGCTCCTAGGAGACAGGAGGAGTCCTGAGTGGGTTGCCAGTGAGGCTGTCTGTCAGGTAATTTGTATAGCACAGTCGCAGTGGCAGTACAACATGGGCCAAACTGTAATCAACCAGTAAGACTGCAAGAATAGGTATGTCTTAGTTACTTTTCTGTCATCGCTGGGACAAAATACCTAACACCTAGAGTTAAGGAAAGAAAAGTTTATTTGGCTCATGGTTTGCAGAGATTGCAGTCTGTAATCAGCTGGTTCCAAAACAGCGGGTGGCTCGTGGCAGAGGGCAGCAGTTCATGGGGGGGGGACAGCAGAGGCAGGAAGGGAGGAGGAGGAGCAGCAGGCAGCAGGAAGCAAGCTCCTTTACCTCGCTTATGTTGTATGCAGACCACCTAGGGTGGGTGTAGCACTCGCATCCCCAGCACTAGACAGTGAGCCAGTCACAAGCTGGATTCAGCTGCCTCTAACCCCCCCCCAACCCCATGACTGCATGAGGCTTTGGGGGAACCTCCAGGCACAAACCATAACAAGCTGCTTAGCTGATGCTGATTCAGAGGGAAGTGGAGCACACAGCAAGGGTGCATGGCTGGCGTCAGTTACCTTGGCTTACCTGTGACTTCCAAAACAGGAATATTTGGGGAAGGGGTGGGTACAGGGGTTCTGGTCACCCATGCAGTGCCTAGTGCACACAGTATATGGACTGGATGGTGTAAATTACAGTGCTGTCTCAAGTCCCATTTATCCCTTGGGGACATAGGCCATTGTGACTGGCCATTGTGACTTTATCTCAGGGTCTTGCCTTCAGGTGTGCCTCCAGCCACAGTTTTGATGTGTTCTCATCTTCTGCAGTGACTTCTTTGAGAGGGCAGCCCTGTCTAGCTGCCTGTTTTTCCCCTAACTTAGCTATCTGTAACATTACCTCCCTCTGAAGAGCTGTCCTAACTACTTTAGGGGAGAATGAGTGTAGTTGTAGTCGAACTGCTTTGAGCTGAGAAGGTGTAGGGGAGGCTGAAGTCAGGGGCCTTTTCCTAGTCTTAAGGGCCTTGGGTAGGTCATGATGAACTCCCCTCACAAGGTGGTCTAGGATCTCAGTAAAAGGAGCCTGGCGCATTTGTCATTGGTTCCCTCTGCATGATCGCTTGGAGTTTGGCAGCCTCTAGGCAAGAGTCAACAAACTTTCTAGAGATTAAGCATGTATGACCAGAATGTGAGCACTAGAGTGGAAAGGCAGATTAGGGAGACACTGCTCCTAAGGGACTGGAGTGCAGTTGTAATGAGGGGCTCCTAGATCTCTCTACTGAGGGAGATCGTCCAGTGCCACCCTGTGGGGAATAAAGAATTTGTTGGGACAACGTCCAAAGGACTAAAACCAGCCCTGAATGTTGGCCTTTGAATAGCACCTCAGTGTGACCACACTGCCTGCACAGTCGCCACCCAGCCACTGGCCGAGGGCTGATGACCGCCTCTTGCAACTCAAGACATCTCTGAAAGGGTCTCCCTCCTTCAGCACCCCACTGCACTAACAGATTGTGTTAGGGTGGCAGCACATTAAGTCCCTCAGTTTTAGCTGTAGAGTTTTAGCTGGAGAGTTCAATGGTTGTGAAGGACAATTTTAGTTAAGGAATGAGGAAAAATTTTTACAACGCGTTTTGCAACATTTTGTGCATGCTTTTGTCAAAAAAGGAAGCCAAGAAGAATATACACAGTGCTGTTAGCAGTGGTGGTGGGGGGGGGCTGTCCTTGGGAGGGAAGTGGACCTGACCATGCTGGAGGCTACAGAGGCGGGCCTGCGGGACCCACACCTATAGCAGAGGAGGAGGCAGAGCGCCCAGCGGGCTTCACTTTCTGCTTTACATTTTGAAATGATAACCTGTGAGAAAAAGTGCTTCCTTTTTCAGATGCAGAATGTTTATGAAAATCAAGATGTTAGATTCACTCACAGAGCTTTTAGCGCACTTTCAGCGTCTGTGAGGTGACACGCTCCTTAACAACTTATGGAAATCCGTTGAGCTCAGTCCCTAAGTCATGGCTCCTGCTTTTTAATTTTTTTTTTTTTTTTTTTTTTGCATTTAAAACTTTTTTTTACGGCTTATGCTTGGTTTTTGTGTGTGTGTGCGCAGGGTCTCACTACACAGCTCGGACTTATTATGATCCTCCTGATTTCTGCCCCCTAGTGCTGGGATTACAGGCACTCACCACCATGTCCAGGTTCCCAGCGCGCTTGGGAGCGGGGCCGGTGCAGCATGCGGAGCCAGGGATCGAACCCTGGCCCCTGCGCTTACCTAAGCAGGCGCTTAGTCACTGAGCTATACCACCGGCCCTGACTTAGGCTTTTAATTGTAGCTAAAACATACTTCTCTGATACCATCATACTTGGCTGTATGAAGGTTATGGGCCAGTTTTCATTTTTTAAAGTTTTAAGTAGAAAAGTACTTGAGAAGACGACAGACGTGGAGTGTTTAGTAACTTCAAAGGCTGTTCTCTTGACTTAGAATATCAGGAGTGTGCGTGTCGGGCACACTGATACGCGGTTGCGAGCTTCACCACCTGTCTTGGTGAGTCCTGAAGTCCCTTTCTGCTCACAGGCACAGCTCCAGATGTTCAGGGCGCAGTGGATGTTTGAACTTGCCCCAGGGGTGGGCACTAGCCCCGCGGAGCCGCGGCCCAGCCGCGCAGCAAGAGGCACTCTGCTGAAGGCGGCTGCAGACGCCAAAGGCAAGCACGAGCTGGCAAAAGAAGAAAAGTTAAGTATTAAGGATATCCTACTACAGTTCCCTTTTGTGAACTTTGTGTTCTGGAGGGAGGGGGCATTGGAATTTTCAAAATCATAAGGAAGTCATCATACCTGGTGACATAAACATGTAACTTGTAAAATAAAAGAATTTTTCCTTCTGCAAAATTTGAGGGGCTGGAGAGATGACTCAGTAGAATAAACGCTTCCCTGGCAAGCGCAAGGGCCTGAGTTCAATCCCCAGTTCCACCAAAAAAAAAAAAAAAAAAAGTTGATTACTGTGCAGTTTATATATCCTCACTACTTGTAGGTACTGTGGATGATACCAACAGCTCTCTTCTCTGCAGATAAAAACTATTTTCATGGAATTGCCTTTTATTAACTTAGGGGATCCTTAAGATTGTTTTGCTTTCCAAAAGATTGATGCCTCTTTTTAGGCTTTTTATTTTTTTTCTTCTGGTACTGGGTATTAAACTCAGGACCTTGTGCTTGCTAGGTGGGCACTTAGGCCACTGAGCTATCTCCCACTTACGCCACTGAGCTGTCTCCCCAGCCCTTCAGGTTTTTTTTTGTGTTTTTTTTTTTTTTTGGCAGAACCGGGGATTGAACTCAGACCCTTGCGCTTGTCAAGGAAGCACTTATTCCACTGAGCCGTCTCCCCGGCCCCCCCAATCCTTCAGTTTTTAATAGCCCAAAATGAGGTTTATTCAGATGTATACCCTTTCAAACGTTGTTTCAGGCTCATGCAGTGTTTTGTATTAACCCTTTCCTTACTGTGGGCATTTTTGTAAGTGCTCACGGTGACAGTCCTCTGCCCTAGTTCCTGTTCATGGAGAAGGCACCAAGGCGTTACTTCGTTTGGCACTGTCGTCTTCTCCCACAGAGGCGGCGTCATCTTCACACTTAACCGATCCAGGTTTCTGTTTACAGTTAGCAAATTAACATTACCATGATGACTAAAGCCTTTCAGACTTGTTTTGTTGTAATTTTTATTTTAAAATCATTGCAGGCTGACAGGCAGAAATTCTGTCAGTCCTTTGTCCAGCCGCCTCCCATGACCACACCTTGTATAACAGTAGTACGGTATCAGCAGGTCGGAAGTGGGCGTTGGCGTGATCGCTGGAGCTTGCTCAGCTTTCCTGGCCCTGAAAGCGTTGCTGTATTTGCAGCTGTGTGGCTGGTGTCACAGTGCCTTGCTCATTGCTGAGGCGCAGTGCCCCGCTCCTGCAGATTAAAGAAAGAACAGTGTATGTTAACTCGCTCTTTATAGAGATTCTAGTCGATAGCTGGCTCCAGGGGTGGCAGGCAGGAGGCAGAGAAAGGAATGGAGAGGAGAGAGGGAGGCGTCCCCTTGCAGGCCGCAGCCCAGTGCCCACCTCCAGCGTCACACTTCACTGTGGTCTCACAGTGGACAGCCTGCAGATGAACGCCACCCAGCCCACCTGTGAGCGCAGGACGCCGAGCTCCAGTGCGTGGGGCTTTGTGTCCCGCTACCGCAGTCCTATGCAGAGCTTGTCAACCTAAATGGCAAGGAAGAGCGGCTCTTCAAAAAGATTTTATTGTGGAAGGAGCGGATTGCAGTCTGGAATGTGTGTCTACAATAGATAAATCAGAGGCATATTTGAGGAGACAAGGGAGACCAAGTTTTTTTAAAGGTATAATGAGCAAGGTTAGAAAGTTGTTTTGAAAATAGTTATCCTTGGCTACAAAGATTAGTAACAAGTTGAATAAGCTGTTGACTGCTAGGCAGATGCCTTTGCAGAAGTAGTCTCTGTGTGCAGTTGCTACAGCTCTGGGGCAAGTTTGTGGTTTCCAGTTCTTGTTGTAGTTCTTTTTTTTTTTATTTTTAACTTTAATTTTAATTTTAATTTTTGTTTTCATGGTACATGCTTGCAGTACATAATGATTACATTCATTGTGGAGAGTTGGTACGTGCATGTAACACATCTCAATTCTTTTTTTCCATAATTTTATTGAGAAACAAATAGCAGTGAGACAGTTTCAAATTGGTAGGACAGTTTCGATAATTTAACACACTGCATACTGCCTTCCTAGTGGTTGTTTATTGTACAAGATGCAAAAATGATATCCTATTTACAAACACTGTTAGAACAAATCCCTCCATTCATTGAATTAAGAGAATGTTGCTATATACCTATCCTAACCATTTCGAAAATACACAGATACAAAATGGTCATTCATCAGTATCCCCTTTTTTTGTTTAGTTCTGTCATTTAAATATTATAGTTGTGTGAACTCAGCAAAATATTCCAGAATAGTCCAGTAGTCCATAGTGGTATTGGGTCTTCCGCTCGCCTGGTAGTTCTCGTTACCAGGTGCGTGGCCTGCAGGGTCCCTCCACTGCGTTTGCCAGGGTAGGCATCTGGGACTCCATTCCGATTCTGGCCACTCTTGCATGCTGGTTCACCACCACAGGGAGCCCTCTTTTTTATAGTTGTACTTTCCCTTTGCTGCCTGCCTTAGTTTTCTCATTGCTGAGACAAAATACCCAGCCCTGAGGGAAAGGAGCAAAGGTCTGTTTGGCTCCCAGCTCACAGAGGTTTCTGTTTATGGTCGCTGGCTCCAAGGTGGGGCGGCCTGGCAGAGCGGCCTGGCAGAGGAGCAGCAGTCCGTGGCGGGCAGAAGGCAGCAAGCTATGTGCCACAGCCAACAGCAGCAGCCTGTTTTCTGCCTTCTATTTTATCAGGATGCCCACCCTTAGAACAGGTAACACGCCCTCGCATTGAGCTGTGAATCAGTCCCAGCATTGCATCCTTGACCCCAGCATCTAGACTCAAGAAGCCGCAGCTCTGACCTCATGAGGCTTTGGGGAGCACCCAAATGCAAGCCACGACACTAGCCCTTCCCAGCCACTGGAGACACACTGATCTGTGCTCCATTTATAACTTCTGCATCTGAAGAGTGTTTCATAAATGGTACCATCCAGTGTTAGCCTTTGGGGACGGGCTGTTTTCACTGTGCGTAGTTGCCTTGAGATCTGACCAAGTTGTGTGGCAGTACTCTGCTCGTCCTGGTTGTAAGGTAGTGCTGTGTGGTATAGGTACTCCCAGATTTTTAGACTATGAACTGGATGAAAAATGTGGGTTTCCAGTTTTTTGACTACTATAAAACTATAAAACTACTATGAATATTTGTGTATAGGCTCTCATTTCTATTCATAAGCTTTCATTTCCCTGGGATGAATGCCCAAGAGTCCAGTTGCTGGGTTTGGTGAGTACATGTTTGGTTTTAAAAGAATTGCTATCTCAGAGAGATAGCTTAGTAGAGTAAGTGCCTGCCTGGCAAGTGCAGGGTCCTGAGTTCAATCCTTAGTACCTCAGAAAAGGAAAAAAGAAAAAACCTGCCAAACTTTTCTGGAGTCCCTCTGCCAGGTGTGCACTGTCGCCGTGTGAGCGATCCACCTTCAGTGTGTCCTCGGCAGCACTAGGTAGTATCTTTATAACTGCAGCCATTCTGAGAAGTAGATGGTAATAGCTGGTTGTGATTTTAATTTGTGTTTCCCGAATGACTAATGGTGTCTTCTCCAGTTGTTATTTCCCACCCACATCGCCTTTGTGAAGTAACTATGCTTTTTCTAGGTGAATTGCTATGATTTTATTGTTTATTTTTGAGATTTCTTAATGCATTCTAGAGGCAAGCCTATGGTTGAGTATGTGAGTTATACCCATTTTTCTCCCAGTTTGTGGTTGGTTTTTATCCCTGTACCCAGGGCACTTTGCAAAGCAAAAAATTTTTGATGAGGCTCCGTTCATCAACTTACCCTTTTATGCATTGTTTTCATGTCATGTATGAGAACTCTTCGTTTGGTCTCTAGGTTGCCAAAATTTTCTGTTTTCTCTAAAAGCTTTAGAGGTTTTACACTTCAGTCTCTGATCCGCTTCCCGTTAGTGTGTACATAAGGCATGGGCTAAGCTCAAGTGCCTGGTTCTGCCCCCATGTCCAGCAGCTCTAGCATTCTCTGCTGAGAGAGCCTTCCTGCCCCCTCCCTCCATCAGTGTGTTTTTAATACAGATTTTCAGACATCACTTTCACTTTTTATCTTTATAGGCCCGAGAGCTCTTCCTAAGAGCAGTAGAAGAGGAACAAAATGGAGCTCTTTATGAAGGTAGGCCTCGGGTCCAAGGTCAGGTGGCTGTAACATGTCTGAGGAACAAGGCCTTGTCACTGATTTTTGTTTTTACTAAAGGTTATTTGATAGAGAACATCAGTCCCCTTACATTCAAAATTGGTTTTGAAATAAAAAATTAAATTTATGTTTTATATGACTTGTATCTTTCTGAAAATGTTGATGGGAAACATCATATTGATAGGATGAGTAAAATGAATGTTTTTCTACATTTAGTTTTAGTATTATTACTTCATCAATGTAGTTATCTTATAAGATATACTCCTCTCACAGATAAAAATTACTTCAGAGGAGGGGAATATAAAGAATAAACCAAAGAACAAATATAGCCATTAAGTTCTAATATTCTATGTAAGGAATAAGCTTTGGGCCTTGTCTCTTATTAACCCAACAGAAGTGCATGCATAAACAAAATAATTAGACTTTATCATATTAGCTTTGTAATTGTGCTTTTGTTTTTTAATAGTAAAGGTAATAATTAGGGCACAAGAAAAATGTGCTGAAGTCATTTGAAAATGCCCCTAGATAGCACGCACCGCTGCTGCATTTATTTGCAAGCTGCTTCTAGTCGTGTTCTCACATAGACTTTAGTCCCCAGGCAGTCTGCACCAGCTTGTCTCGAGCCTGGCCTGGTGCTCACGGGGATGACGCATGCAGGAGAGCCGAGCAGGGCAGATACGGGGTAGGCGGCCTGGCCAGGGAGGACACAGCCACATTTAAAGATGAGTTGTAAAGGTTACCTGACTGAGCACAGCTGGGCTGAAGGAAGTTGGATTCGAAGAGTCAGTTAAGAGAGCTCTTTGCTGTAGCACATCCAGCTGGAAGCATTTACATTGCCTTACTCTGTCACGAAAAACAATTGTTTTGTTCAGAAATATTTCTTTGGGCTATAAAGCTGCATAACATCACTCTGGTGAGACGTGGGGTAAGAAAAACATGGAAAGGACAGGAAAGTGACAGTAAAACACATCCTAAATTCCATCATACCTTAACCTGAAATGTTTCTTTCTTTTTTTTTGCATAAGTGGGGATTGAACTCAGGCCCTTGCGCTTGCCAGGGAAGTGCTTATTCTACTGAGCCATCTTGCTGGCCCCTGAAAGGTTTCTTTTTGAGCTGTAAGGTTTGGATATAAGTTTGGTGAACTGCTGTTGGCTGTAGAAAAAGAGAACTTGGCTGTTTGATAAGAAAGTTACCAAATTAAAATGTATTTGAGAGTAATCAAAGCAAATGACAGAAATGTGTGGTCAGAGCTAATTTATCTTTATCTTTTCTTTTAGCCATCAAGTTTTATCGCAGGGCTATGCAACTTGTGCCTGACATAGAGTTCAAGATTACTTACACCCGGTCTCCGGACAGTGATGGTGTTGGAAACAGCTAGTGCGTATGAACCCCGATAGACTGCCGCCCTGTGGCTGACGCTTGGCAGACAAGGCGATGCTCGCTTCCTGCGGCGCTGTAGCATGCACAGTGTGCTCTTTCTAAAGTTACAGTAATTGTGTAATTGGGGAAATTTGAAGAGTAAAATATAGTAGTGTACATTTTAAAATAGAT